TCCCTTCTCAAACGGACTCCGGCGTGTTCCCCCGCCTCGGACAAGGTGAACTGCTAGGCCGATAACTCAAGGTGATCTCCCTGTCTATCTGTCCAGGGTCCAGCTTCCATCCCGCACAGACACTGCTAAGGATACCGAGCAAGGCGTGAACGACCTGTTCGTATGCATGGGGAAATAAATGTAAGAAATTCGGTCATCTGTGGGACGACACTATAAGAAGAGCACCAATCCGGAACCAAGGCGCTCTGTATCATCTGTGATGGTGCTAACAAGGGCCAGCACGATGAGATATATATATTCACACCAAATGCAGCAGCTTGGGCATCTTCCACAAGATCCCCCAGCCGCCAAACACGGTGGAAAGGCCAGTGAAGATAATGAGGGGGCCATAGGATGTCTCGTATCCGGGACCGCTCACCGAGGACGAGGCAGCGCTTCCAGCATTGAGGAGCGACACACCGACCAGACCACCGCTCACGTATCCGATCCCTCTCGCGCCGTTGAGGAGGCCATATAGCATTCCCGTGTCGACGGCCTCGTTCCGCTGCGCAGCCTCGTGCTCCAGCTCGTTGATGATGCCGCCCCATATGGCGCTGTAGCCGCCGGCGAAGAAGCCGAATGTCATGGAGAACAGAACCAGCAGCACCATCGCCCCTTGCGACGTCAAGCCCCAGAACAGGAAGGCCGACAAGGCCGAACTGACAGCTGATATAGCAGTCACGGTTGTCGCCGACAGCGGGCAGCACTTGTTGTCGCTGAGGTAGCCAAAAAAAGACGACGAGACTATTCCCGGGAGATTGAACAGTGTCAGCAACAGTGTGGCCGAGGTCTGGGACAGCAGCGTGACTTCGTGAGCATAGGTGCTCAGGTATGTCTGCGGTATGCCGTAGCCGGAGCTCTGCAGAATGGTAGCGATGCTGTAGACGTAGAAAGTCTGGTGTCTGAGGAAATGCCACGGAATCCTGCGCGAATGATGCGCGCTCGAGGTTATGGTCGACGGAGGAGTCGGGATCAGGAAGATCGCAAGCACACTAGTCCCTGCCGCAACGGCGGTCCATATTCTCAATGTGGAGCGAAAGCCGTAACATTCGAGCAAGGCGCGCAGCAGAAATGGACAAGCAGATCCCACAATGTTTTTGCAGGACAAGACAACTCCATATGCGACGGCCCGATTGCCCGTGTTGAACCATTCTCCCAGGGACAGAGTGGTTGGGCTGTAGATGAGGGCACATCCCAGCGCGGACGTGACTCCTTGAGTCGCAACCAGGTGCCAGACATCGGTGCTAAAGGAGGACAAGAGAAACGAAACGCAGGTGAGTGCGGCGCCGCAAAGCGCTGCGACCTGGCGTCTCCGTGCCCATCGTCTTGTGAAGAGAGCGAACAGGAGAGGCATCGAGAGATACATGACGCCGTTGGAGGTCGTGCCAATGATACCAGTGGTTTCGCGACTGCCCTCAAGCGTCCAGTTGCCCGAATAGTATTCTTGGAAGACGCCATAGTTCATGGCAAACCCTGGGGTCTTCCGTCAGTAGAATGAGCAATTGGATTATACACTCTAGCCCCTACCCCATATCGGCAGCTGCAGTATCGAGGAGCCCGCGAGAACACAGGCCTTCTGCCTATGTGACACCCATTCCCTTGAGCTGGCATGGTTGAGGTTCGCTGTATCGTCAACGACGGCGATATCTTGAGACCCTGGCTCGCCGCCGTCTGATGGTAGCGACTCGCGTAGCAGAATGCTTTCGTTCGGTGCCATAGTGAATGATCTGAATGTGAGCTTGTGGAGAGTAGACTGTCAACATTAACCGGGCACGCGACACGTTGCCTTTTAAAGGAACGGCCTGCCAGAATGGGCACACGATTATGCGTCATGCGAGGGAATTTGTTGATGATCCTTACCGACAGCAGGACACTGGCAGTAGCCGAAGGCCTAATTCTCCATTGCTCGGCTTTGCTTCCTGCGTGCGCCCTATGAGCAAGGAATGGAAGACGACTCGACGGATATCTCCATTGAAAGTCGATCAATCGTGGGCAGCTGGCACCAACCTGAATGGGGCTTGATTCTATCCTGCTGGCCAGCCAATCTCCGATTGTCATCCTCGGTCGTCTTTCCGACATAAAAGGTGGTTTAGACGCTGGTGAAAGCAGCGACGAGGCAGTCTCCCTATTATCACTAACTCCTTGGCGGCATAGCGGGCGGTCAGCCGTATGATTTTGTACTAGCCTCTCAGTGCATAGCCACGGACGCCTCCTTTAAGGTATCTCGCGATCTAGGGGGGAACACAAGGTAGCGGCAACGCAGATCACGAACAGGATGAGCTGCAAGCAGTTTTCTCTCTGCTCGGCATTGCGGCAGATCAGCTACATAGCGACGAATCCCAGCTGCATGATATCCACGCTAAGCAGGCTGTAGTCGCGCACAATGTAAATCAACTTCTCACGGGTCACGACGCACGCTAATTCGAAGTTGAGAAATGTGACTGAGCAGGCGAGCCCTCCAAGGGTGAGTCGTGAAAAAAAAAGAGCTGTGCATCGAATTCCCGTGGAGCTGAACAGCAAGCTCGCTTCGATCTGTTTGGGTCTTTGTCACCTTGGTGAGCAAACAGTTTTTTGCAGCGTCGCGTCCTGGAGCCTGGGACAGTATAGATGCTGCTCTTCCAGAAATCTTCTTAGCTGGACAAAGTCATCGAACTCAAGTTCCCTGGCAAGCTTCATGAACTGCATCGCGAAGTGATACGTCACCGGCGCAGGGTCTGTGTCCACAGCGAACCTCTGCTGTATGTAGGAATGCGTCTTCGAAGTATGAATCGGCGGAAGAGATCCAAAGTATGTCAAACCTCCGAGCGGGATATGGCAGCGTCGGGGGACCTTGCCCGGACTTCGTCTATTCCTTTGAGAAGCTGTATGTAGTTGCCCTTGCTCAGCGGAAAGGGTCCCTTGGGTGAATAGTGTTCTTCAAAGATGGATCTGTCAAAGAGCCGCATGGCATGGATCAGGGAGGTATCGAAGCTCTCCTCCACAAGACTGTTGGCTGGCGGAGAGTCTTCGACGGCACACTCTTTCTTTTCCTCAACCAAGTTGCACCAGTAGTAGACAATCCTCGCGCGAACGGTAACGTTGCGGAAATGGGTCCATCAATGACCTGTTCCGCTTCGTCAGACTTTGATAAAGCGTTCTTGACCTTGTACTCTTCCACCAGTAACAGCTCTCTCATCTCAGCGAAGATGGTCCTCTGCGTTACTGATGCCGTTGTAGGTCCCAATATACTAAAGGGAAATGCGAACGGTGGCAACGACATGGATTATCCAGACTCAATGCTAACATCCATCATTACCGATGCAAACCTCTGCTTACACATGGCCCAGGTTCAAACTCCACCGATTCAATTAACGGCCGGGTACGCAACATCATGACCAGGCCAATACAGGCGTAGATTATCATTCTGGACTCTGCATCCGGAGGAGCTTTCAAGCCTCCCAACATACCAATGAGTTTCATCGCCGCAGAGAAGTGTATATAAGCATCCCCAAGATTGCCTCGGTAGACGTTACTGGCAGCAAGCCAAACGGCGGCATTCCTCACATTTTCTAGACCTTTGCGAGACTGCGAGGTGTTCTGTGCTTTGAGCAGCTCCTGAGGTCTCTTAGACTTGAAAGGGAGTGCTTTCTAGCAAGGGTGATCAAGCTTCGGTCCGAGCGAAGCGGATTGGTTCTGTCAACCCATCGAGAACCACTGGAAGCATGAATAGCTGATGAATGCATGAATGGCCGCGGCGTCCTCGAGAGTCCCGATCGCACGGCGCCCGGCTTCAAGCAGCTTTGCTTATTCTGGCGCATGGTCACGTCTGTAGGCCACGCCGTGACGATTTGCCTGACTCCGCTCCACATGACAAGGGAAACACCCCAGGGGAGTGATCGGCACCGCGGTGCTGCTAAACGGGTCTGAGTTTCCCTTGTGCTTCGGGGCATACATTTTGACCTTGAGAGTGGTGGGAGTCTCCGTGTCGTCTGACTCGGCTTCTTCTACCTCCCCGAGTTCAGGATTGATCCCCTGACGACGGTCTATACTAGCTGATCCCCGGCATTGTTGACATCTTGACCTCCGGTTGTTTGGGTGTGACACGTGTGCAGTATGAGAGTGAGCTTTGCTTCTGAGCAATTCCTGTGTACGTATGTCGGGTTGTCTTGGATTGCTATCCACAAAACGTTACACTAGAGCACTTCTGTTGCATGTTTAGGAATCAGGAGTCAAATGGCATGTATAAATGTCAGGGTTGCCTGCAAGGAGGTGTGTGGAAAGTGCCCCGGAACGAGGACCAAGGATAAGCAACGATCATTTGTGCGTTTCCGACAAGCTTTTGGAACCCGTTTTTCGTGGCGGGCTCTAGCTGCTATACAATCTTGCCAGTCGTATGTAAGACCTAATTTGCACATCCCCGGTTGTTTCGTGCAGCCATCTCGACCGTCATCACGAATTCGGTTCATTGCAGACGGAGAGAAGTACCCTGATCGTCATCAGAGACATTGTAGTGGATTCGGCGCGTTAGAGGCGTGCCGTTCCACGAGAGAGATATTTGCAATTTGGTTTTTCTGGATTCCGATCCTGCATGACCCTTGCGGATTGCAAGGCGACGACACCCTTACTCGGACAAGACCAAAGACAGCCGAGGTTTCTAAGGTGTCTATCGCGCTATCATCAAGCATTCACTTAATCAGCGTCGGCGAAGGGACCGGCCATCGAGCGGCTGGGTTCCGGGAGGCTTTATCAGATGAGGGGCTGCTTTGTGGCTTGCAGACCGCTAGCATTGGCTAGAATATTTGCCATGCCTGGAACGTGTTAACGCACCTTTTGTGGGGAATCAGCTATTCTCTGTGTGGTCAAACGGAGATAGCCTCCCAAAAGTGCACAATCTAGGGATCCAGCCTAAAAACTGGTCTTCTGGAGCAATAGTGGGTGCTGCGATGCAGGCGAGCATCGGAAGTCGACGGAAAAGGCACCGTTCATGGCGATGGCGACGAGTTTGGCGTCAGCTGTTCGCTCCGCCAGGCCCTGGTGACTTGTTCCTCCATTGACGCAAAATCCTCCTCTTTCATATCCTGATTCTCCAAGTTGATGTCGACGCTGATATCGATCAACAGCCAAGCTCGTAACGCTGCTGTCAGACGGATTCGCAGATCAGTGTCCAGTAACGCAAAGATCTTGAGACCGTTCATCTCATAAGAGCAAATATCGACTTCCTTGAATATAGCCTCGTCCTTCTTGAAGCACTCACTATAGCATTGCTCGCGGACCCAGTCCACAATAGATAGTGCAGAGGTCCCCCCTAGAGATTTGGCGGAGCTGGCATCTAAAACAGATTTGAGCTTTTCCAGGAAGAAGATCTTGTCAGCCAGATTGTTCCTTCCAAAGCTTGCCAATGTCATATTCATATCATAAAATAGCGCAAAGAGCCCTGCCTGATAAGTGAATCTCCATTTGGGATCACTCGCGGCGTTCATCGTCTCGCAAGCATAGGTAGAGAAAAGTGTTGACTTCTTGATGGTGATGTAACGATCAAGAAGACAGTGTTGTGCTGCAGATTCTGTAGCATGCTCCTGGGGAACATTTTGACCCTTGTGGCTCCCTTCGGTACTGATGAGATAAGTCGCGCAGGCGTGATGGATCAGGTCAGCATGGTTTTGCTTCGACAATGCCTGCAAGCGCCGCAAGCTGAGGAAAACCATGGTTTTGATGGTCTCAAAATCGCTGAAGGACCTTATCTTGCAAGGAACAGACACATACATTCTCTTGAGGGTCGAGAGAGACAGTGCAGTCTTGCCGATATTAACGACGAAATGGTCTAGGGCGCCAGGTCGTTGTAGTAAAGCATCCAACGCCTTCAAGTGTTCCATAGCAGCTGCTTTGTGATTCATGTAGCATTCAGCCGATATCGCATACCGCAAAGCCATCACAGCTCCCTCGAGATCAAAGTCGGCGTTGTTTAACAGCGACCTGAGCATCCCATAACCGCTTGCTCTACGTTTCAGAATTGAATGGCGGAGAATGAGCGAGTTGGGGGGATCGTGTACGCGTTTGGCCATTTGCTCTTCAGCTATGATGAGAATCCAATGCAGTGCCGCGCGAGATTTTTGTATTGACCGGGCCGCGGGTACTCTTTGTGGGCAGTACAGGGCGTCCCTGTGAAACCCGAACATCTGAGTTTGTAGGTCGGTAAAGTCTTCACCGCTTTCTGGTTAGCAAAGTATTGAAAAGGGAAAGGCGGCGAAAATCGACGGAGAGTGCACAACAGGTCAAAAAAAATTAGAAGACGCACAATAATTGAGAAGATACTTTTCGTACAGGCCAATAGAATCACCGAGTTCGAAGATTGAACCCAAAGACTCTATTTCAGGTGATGAGCAGAAGGGGTGATGCTCTCCATCCGAATGTCTTCTGACGCTGTCTTTGGAGTTGGTTTCACCCGCCTTCTTGAAACGACGAAGGTCGACAGGATCAGATCGGTGCCTTGTCAACTTGTTGCTTTTATGCGTCCCGGACTCCGTTGACCCAGTACTGCGGCGGCGCTCAGGCAGCTCAACATGGAAAATGTTGGTCGAATGTGCGGCTTGATTTACATTTTGCGATGGATATGAAGTGATACGCTCGGGAACGTCGCTGGATGGGAGAAAACCTTCCGTCTGGGGGCCTTCCAAGACAAAGTCGACTTGCAACGGTGACGGCTATTCGATTCATCCATCAGCGACAATATAGTGATAAACTGAGCGGACAGCTTTCAAAGATGTGGTGGCACTCACAGTTCTGCTCACAGTGGCAGAATTGTTGCTGTTGTTTTTACGACGTTGGTGCGAAAACCGCGCGACGTGAGAGTTGATTCGGGACAACCTTTTCTTGCTTGGCCCACCATTCTCACCCTGCCCCGTCTCGTTCACGAAATGAATTATTCCAGAAGGCATTTATTTGGTGCAGGGCTGTATGGAGGTCATGGCGAATTTGGCAAGGAGCCTGAATATCAAATTCAGGATTCGGAGAAGAGATCGGATTATGGAGAGAGACAAGTTTCAGGGTAACCACGTGTGGATGGAGAAATGCTGTCCACAGCCAGCGATCAGGAAAGAGGGGGTCGAGCTTCGCAAAAACTTACAAACATTACCCCTTTCGGGCTGTACAGACCTGGAAAATTAAGGATGAACTTAGTAATCCAAGCTTCTCCCCGTTGAACCAATTGACCCCCTCTGCGACTATGCTCTTAGCTGCGTGTGTTGATCCTTCGCCGGATCGCGCGAAGACTTTCTCGTTCCCCGCCTGCAGAAGACTGCTTGATATCCCTCGCATCGATTACTATATAGTATAGCCTATGAGGCAAGGTGTTATAGGAAGAGTGCGGTGGACATCAACAGGGGTGTCAGGTGAGGTTTAAAAGCTGCAAGCAGTTACATGCAACGGACGGAGGTTATCAGTGCTGCTGATTCCACATCTGTCTGCGTGTGAGACAACGTTTGGTCGGATTTCGGGTCGCTTCAATCTGACTCGCGGTGAAATATTGGCGGATTTCTCTGGGGAAACAAGGCCTCCAAGTCTGATATGTGAGTGCCCCCATCTGGGCGGCCAAATTCCCCCCGAGCTCTACAAACGCCGAGCGAGAACCGTTTAGCGTTTTGGGGAATAGAGAATTACCTAAGGAGGCGAAAAAGATGAGGAAACGAAAGCGAACGCGAAAGCGAAGGAAGGATTCAACAGTTGCTGCAATTGTTGAAATTCGATTGTGCCAAGCTTAGGGCGGCGGTAACCGCATTGGGCAGTTTGGCACCAAGTCGTCAATATTGGGTCAGATTCCACGAGGTGCAATTTATGATACTACCTATAGTACTCCCTGTTTACGGAATATAAGGTACGGAATACTGGAGGCACATGGGCAGCATCATTTTGTTTGTATCATCTATATTGTCTTATCACAGTACTTGCGCAGTCTGCCCGACTCGTCGTCGAAGCCTTGCGTTCCAGAGCTGAATCGCCCACTGAAGCCTTGTCGCTCACAAGTGTTGATTCGAACAACCCACCCTATGTACAAAAGAAACCCAGGACACGTCAAAATCTACCTCCAAATAGGGTTTCCCAGGGATAGATCCAAGCCTCACTTTCAATGCAATCCATTTCTGTTTGCCCAAAATCTCACCCGAGCCACATGTTCAGTCAAGGAGTCTGCCCAGTCCTCAATCTCCTCCTCACGTCTGCTTGGTATCGATGTCACCGTGCCCTGCCTCTTGGGTTCTGTCTCCATGGCATTCTCTACGGTCATTACGCTGATTTGTATATCTGATGCTGGAAAGGATTCGAGATGTCGGGCGAGTTCTGATCGGGGTTGACGCCCTGCGTGTCGTCGAGGTTGCGGCCAGGCCCTAGGGATGTATTCCTCATCTGCAACGACGGGGATAACTAGCCTACTCCGCTCCAGAGGGGCACCGCCCGAGCTAGTGGCGGAGGCGAACGTACGCCAGAGGACGTCCCCTTCGGTGTGAATATTAAGTTCGTTGACCGGAGCTGGTGGGAACGCACGGTCCAAGTCGAAGTTAGGTATCGTCGTTGCACTGTGGTCAGCCACTGGTCTAATTATCGGTGTTGGTGGTGATGGGGACGACGAAGGCTGTGTTGGGTATTGAATTAAGTCCTCGATCCGTCCGATCGCTAGTACTACAGGTACTAGAATGTCTTCGATCCCGTTCTCGTCGATTTCGAACACGGGAATTCGGCGTCGTTGATTGCGGCCCTCAGTTGTTGGGACCGGAGGAGATATTGGGCGCTCGGAGGTTTCCATGGCGTGGGTCTCGTCGAAAGAGACGGCGACGAAGGATGTGGTGGCGGTATTGTTGGAGGGTTGGAATGCCGCCATCTCGAGAGGTGTAGATGTGAATATGTGGAGGGAGGTTATTTGAAGGGAAGTAGTGTAGAGTAGACGGTAGTTTGATGTTGATGCGTGGTGTTCGCTGGTAGTCTGGTGTGGACGTGTGATGTTCACTGGTAGTAGCGGGTGAGTATGGAGTTGAGCTGAGAGAACGTCCTACCTGCAGAAGGGAAACTGTAAAGCGAGGATATATATGTTATTACACTAGAGGTCCTCGTCTCCGTACCGACCAACAGTTCATACTTGTTGTTCACTTAGAGATCCACTATTGAGACGGCATCCAAATGGAAGATATACACAACCGCAGGGCTTAGAGCATCAACCGTGGTACACGCACGAAGATCCTCAGGAACCAATTTCTTTCCCTGGGGGGCGTCGTCTCGAGCCATTTCTTGGACCGCTGGATGGTGTGTTACGACTTGGGTCTCAGGATACCTACTTATCTTGGAGATCCCACCAGAAATGCACGGCAGCTTGGTTGTAAGCGAACCAGGATGACCACCACACGTGGAGGAAGAGCTGTTCGGTGTCACGTCGCATCTGAAGATGTTCCCTGTTGGTCGAATTTGTAGCCAAGCAGCTTGCGGGAGCTTCTCTTTCCGACGACGCAGAACACCGTCATTTCCTGTTTCATTTTGCGAGGTTGGAGCTCTTCTATAGTAGCTGCCTGGATAGAGTTTGGTTGTACCATTGGATGAGTCCCGGCATCGACACATAATTTGGTCGAATTTGAAGATTTCTTCACGACAAGCTTAGTAGGCACTGTAGGCCAACGAACCAATATTTTCCCTTTCACTTTAAAATGATCTCTATAGATCGCTTGGTTCCGAGCGAGGAACAGATTTAGTCCTGCGCAGAGTGGCAAACAAAACGCTGTGTAGAGTGGGAGTGTTGATGTTTCCGATACAATCGCAGACACAGATAGGCGGAGGACTCGATTGTAAACTCTGCGGTCACACTTCTCGGGCCTGGGTCCTGCATATGTTGGAAAGGGGCGGGGTTGTTTCTGAATGGACCTGGGACTTGACTGTTTTAGAGGTTTCACTGGTTTAGGTTTGAAATAGACTTGGTTTGATCTCAGTGTTAGCAATACATGCATCGCGTAATACCTTGCAGATTCGAGACAACACCTATAGGTATTGGGCAAACTAGAGTTTGACCAAGCGGGCTGCTTATGTGTCTGAGCGAGTCTGAGTTATGTTGGTCACTATGTTTTCGCTACCGATTCTCATTTTGTTGCACCGTACTTTCCACGGTCAGCCACAAATACAGATAGGCGACAGAGATCTGCGGAGATGCCGTCCAAATTCCCTTCTTGAAGCCTTCCAACCTGGAAGTCCCGGTCGCCTTTCAACCACATTGCAACAAAGAGCGACGCTGGCGAATTCCGATCCATACCGACTCACTGACAGCGAGATTTTCTGCCTCCAAGCCACAGATTCAGACGTGAGGTTGGTCGTCAATTTGGCACTGGAGGAGGGTCGGGGAGTGGATTCATCGGTCTTGGCCTTGGGCGAAGGAGCGTAAAGATATCGTGGACCGGACTCTCGTCCTTGGAAAAAGTCAGTGGTCTAAATAGACACCGTTGTTCTGGGGTTGACCTACGACCACCATGGACTGACTCTCTGGTCGAGGTACTACTTGCGTTGGTTGCATGACGACTGGTTAGGAAGGAATCAGGTATGCCACTCTGGTGATGAACATGCAAGAGGAACGGGCCCGTTGCTCAGACTCTCACGAGGCTGAGAGCGATTTGATCTTCGTTTACTAAACTTCAGCAGGTCAGATCGATCGCTGCAGAGCGGAAGAGTTTGATATTGTCGACGCTGGCAGAAAGGTGACACAATGACCCAGCCAGCCTCCTCCAGTTCTCTGCTGTTCGAGCTCGGTTCGCTTCCGCTAGAGCGTCACACTGTCCAACAGATCATGCATTTTGCATGCTAGCATCCAAGGTCACTAGGACTGTGCCTCTTTTATTTCTTTTTCCCCTTGCGCTTTTACTGCCTGTGTGGTAGGATCGAGATGCCAACATCACTCCTTCCTTGCACCAGTTATGATTATTTCCTACACTCCCTGGATCCTCTACAGTCCAAAATGCGTTTTATTGATATGGATAGTGATATATTGTCGGCGGGAGTGGGGGCTTCCCTCCGATTTGCGGCTTCCATCGAGGAAACTGCCATGCCTGCCTCTGCTCGGTTGATTGAGGCGGCCTTGCCAGTGTATAATACCACAAGTTTGAGGATCAGCTGATATTTAATGCTCGACTGTTCACAATCCCACCGTCCTTGATAGTTGGACACTTCCACTCACCTCTCTGGCCCCAATCTTTGGCTACTTTTCCCACTCTTTTGGCGAGCAAATACTCTTTTCGACACCATTACCACGGAACCCACTCATTGATAACAGGGGATCGATTCCACATCACCATCACCGACCACCAAGCGCTACATTATCTTTCATCCTTCCGGTTCAAGCACATCTATCAGAATGTCTTTTATGCTCGATCCACGCGGAGACTTGCCTCCTCCCACCATACAGCCGAGCTCGTTCTATTACACCCACTATCACAAACGAGCCACCTCTTATGGTCTCCCCGCCAAAAAACCCAAGAGCAAGCAATGTTACGATTGGATCTTCTCAACGGCGTCCAACGTCCACATTGCCATCGATCGTGCTGCCTTCAAAACATACGTTCCCTTCAAGTCATACGTCCTCACAGTCTCCGATCAACGCCAGGTACCGGTTCGAGGCATTGGGACAGTCGAACTGAAGCTGCGGCGAGAACCGGGCAGTCGAGAAAACCACACCATTGTCCTGGAGAACGTCTTGCATGTCCCCGACTGGCTTTGCAACGTTATTTCTGACATATATTTTGTCCCCGCCAGCCATTATGAGCACACTTGGACCGAGTTGGGCGTCAACTTTTTCGTCCGAGACAAAGACATCTTTAAGCCCTGGGGTTACACAGAGAACTTCTGCGGTCTGGATCGACTGGTGCTGTCAAAAAACCATCAAGGACGCAGTCCCATGCTCGAAGATCCTGATCGAGAAGTGTTTTCCGTGAGCTTGACCTGGCCACAGAGTCAGAAGGACAAGGGGGACAACATCGCCGCCGAAGAGATGAAACAAGACGCCAAACGAGTCAAAAAGGCTTTCGAAAAGAAACACGCCGAAGACGAGGCGAAAGGCCTGAAACGAGAGGTCAAGAGTAACTTAGAGAGCACCAAGTCCAAGTTAATCCCGGACGCCATAAAGAGGCCGCCAAAACAGAACAGCAGCGAGTCTGGTGAAATCATTGGCGAACTGGAAATACTCCCACGAGGGTCAAGGCGGATGTTCGATAGGTTCAGACTCTGAAGCAAAGGTACGCGGTTCTCGAGGTCCGCACGTCAAAACACAGGGCAATGGCGAACCTCGAAGTGTTGCACGTCTCATCGGCACATCAATCGCCAAAGGGGAGCCAGTAGTAGCCGGCTTAGATCGAGTACTGATACGCCACAGGAGCTTCATGCACAGTAGATTGGGAATGTGCAACCCGTATAGCAAATCAATCGCATCCATCCTCACCCCTTCATCAGTCTTCCTACTCGTATATCTTCTTTTCACCCCAGTAAACTAATGCACCAACCTTACCTGCTTGCCTGGCTCCCACTCATGCAATGCTGAATCCAGGCTCCGCCAGTAATTCAGGTTGATGCATTCCCTTTTTGCACCATCAACGTCATCGCTTTCAAATGCCTCCCTCAGCGCTTTCTCCGTCTCCCTGATCCTCGCTATATTCTCTCTCATTAAGCTCTCAATCTCATCATGGCTCTTCGCCTCCTCCAGCATCTCTTGCGCTTCCATGACTTCCAGCAACGTGCTCTGATCCGTCACGCCCGCGTGGGTGGCGTTATCCTCGTGCGTGATGTCGATTTCATGATTATGCTGTAAGAGGTATCTCGCGCGCAGGAGTGGGTCGGAGAGGGTCTTGTAGGCGTTGTTTAACAGAGATGAGAGGGCGCGGGATTTCTGGTGGGAGGGCGTCCCAGGAGGGAATTTGTCCGGGTGGTATTGCGACTGTAGCTGCAGGAATTCGCGGCGCAGGTGCGGGAGCGAGATCTCGAACGGGCCGTCCGGCGGTGGACCCGATGGGAGGGTCGAAGGGAAGAGCGTGTAGTAGTTCGTCACGTCTAGAGGAGAGGGAGAAGTCGTTGGATCCTCTTGTGTGGAATTAGCTGTCTTCGGCTGCACTTGAGCTGGTGCCTCAGCTCGAGGCTCCTGGTGACCAAAGGCGGTCCTGCTGAATGTTCGTCGAGGATGGCGTGTTGATATTGGTCGCGAGCATTGCAGGGGGCTTTGTCGCCTTCTTGCAGTTGCTGTTGTGGCAGAGGGTGAATCAACGAAGCAGAGACGTCGGAGGTGCCGGAGAGTCTGCCGCGTAGGCGCTGGTCGAGACATGATTGCGGTGATTCCAAAAAAGAAAGAAAAAGAAATAATTGCGAGTACCTTGCTGTGGATGCGATTAGACGTTAGCGGGGTCAATTGGAAAAGGGTTGGACAGATTGTAGGTACATGGGAAGGATAATCCTCAACACCAGAATGGGACGGTTTTGTGTTGGAACGCCTCGAAAATTGTATGGTCGACGTCATGCTCCGGAGTCGGAGCATGTTGGGCCGAAGAACGAAACAACAAATTTTGCCATTTTCATTCTTCCCAACTTCTGTGTCACCATTATTCATTTTCATAGAGAATTTTTTCAGTTTTGTGACTCGTACAGGCTCTTGGTCCATAGTGCCAATGACGGTATTTTTATATAGACCAGGATGGCGGTTCAAAAATGAGAATTAATTTTCCGCTCCTGAAGCAACCTCTCTCGCAAGACGCACTCCAAGGTTTCAATTATAAGCCACCAAAGCAGCCTTTTACTTTCGAGATTGGAGCATCCCGTCTCAGAGGATTCGTCTAGGTCAATGATGCTGGAGGGCATCTGTCCTCTCTCTCTCCCCACATGTGGCACTGCGACATCCCTGCGGCACTCCGGCTCAATGGAGCTGACCCTAAGAGTTGCTCCTCAAGCATTCTCAGGGTGCATTGGTATCAAGGGATGACCATCGTGCTCTGCCAGATCGATCTTCGAAATGGCATATGCTACCCCTCATTTACCACATTACCCCTCTAGCAGGCATTCATTGGCATTCTTGTTCGATTACCGGCCTGGAATCAGTCCTCTTCGCATTTCGACCTTGGACAGGTAGCGCCGGAAGCCGCCATTTTCATCCGGACCCCCACAGGAGATACTATCAATGTCGGCTTAACTGGAGCACTCGTAACCATCTTCGACACGCAGGCGGTAGCAGCCAATCGGTGGCGCGTAGCCGTCTTTTTTGGTCGATTATTGATGCCCTCTCGCAGGGAGCAGCCAATTATTGACAGATGTCGGGATTGACCTTGGGATTCCTTCTGCTGCTGCTCTGCGGAAGTGATTGCTGGTGAGTCCGAGGCTGTTCCATTTCTACAGGCAGTGGCTAAACGCTTGCAGGTCTCCTTGCAGGGTTCCAAATGGGTCTTCTGGTGTCCGTGAGTGTGGCTGCGTGGGCCACGTTGGCCCAACATTTTAATCCTTGCTATTGTCAGGAAAACTCAGGTCTTCGACAATAAAAGGCTGATCCACGGTGGTATAAGGTGAAGGAAGATGTCTTTTGAATATGGAGTGCCATTTAGTTGTTGCTCATTGAAGGATTTTAGAGGCGACAAGGCTGGACAAGGCTAGCATTGGAGAACGAGGAACCTTGGGTCACTGACGTCATTGGCCAACGCGGCAAGCTCCACCTTTAACTCGTGGTTGTTTCGGACCTCGAATTTGATCAGTCAAGTTGAACTCGTTGTATCACAGTGACGGGCTGTGCTGCCAATCAGGCAATATAAGCTAGAGCTAGAGCTTTAATACCGTTTCTGCCCCCTAAGATCTCTGCAAGTCTTCCCACAAAACCTTAAATTCATCACAATCTGCAAGATTACCCCTCATTTCAGTATCAACCTCTGATCATGTCGGACTACTACGACCGCCAAGGAGGAGACCCTCGCGAGTATGGTGGCGGTGGCCGCGGCGGAGACAACTACTATGACCAGAGCCAACGCTTTGACGATAGCGATCAAGGCGGGGGCCGCAGGGACGACTATGGCGAACGCCGTCAGCAAGGAGGATACGGAGGAGGAGATGGTTATGGCCAACAGGAAGGGCGTTATGGAGGAGGTGATGGCTATGGTGATGGTGGGACGAGTGGAGGTTACGGAGATGAGCCACCTCGCCATCATGATCATCGCGACGATGAAGGCTATGGGCGTCAGGGAGAAGGCCATCACAGACGCCACGGCGCTGAAGGATATGGTGGCAGCTCCAGTGGAGGAGGAGGAGGAGGAGGAGGAGGAGGAGGAGGAGGGTATGGGGGCGATGGCAGCTATGGGAGACCCTCCGGTGGAGGATATGGAGGAGGTGGATCTGCCGACTATGACGAAGACGAAGTGATGCGACACAGCCAACACCACGGCAACCCGGAAGACTCTAGTCTTTTTTCTCAAGCCATGTCTTTCCTCAACCAAAACAAGCACAGCACTCAATCCGAGGACGTGGACGAAGGTCGGATGCAGCAAAGCCATCAGATGCTTTACCAGCAAGGTGGTGGCAGCCAGCAACACGATGCTTCTAGCTTAGGCGCAGGGGCTGCAATGCAGGCCTTGAAGATGTTTTCTGGTTCTAGCGGAGGCGGATCCCAGTCTCAGATGATTTCCATGGCTATGCAAGAAGCCTCGAAACTGTTCGACAAGCAGAGCAACATGGGTAATGTCCAGGGCGGCACAGACAAGCAGTCGGCAATCAACATGGCTGCAAAGATGGCCCTTCAAATGTATATGAAGAGCCAAGGAGGTGGTAGTGGCGGTGGTGCTTCTGGGCTGATGAGCCTTGCCAGCAAATTCTTCTCTTGAATCGAGGGAGACGCGGCTACTGGCTTCCATACGAAGGGTTCTATATATCCACTATCCTATCGCTCAGGTGGAGGAATCCCGACAAGGCTCCGTGCTATGGAGAAGCGACCACTGAATATAGCTAGATGAAGAAGGTATAGCGATGGATCTAGTCTACTTCAGGCAAGGCGCGGGCCAGTCACGATGCAGGCGTCATTCTCGCATCCTCCACAGACTGCGCATCCACAGCACCGAGAAGCTTTGGAGAAAAAGTCCCCTGACCATCCCATCCTCCATTTCCCCATCTCATTCCTGTCCACAACAAGTTATTGCTTTTGTCCAGATCGAGGTTGTTACGTCCAGCGCCTAATCTGTCCACGTTCTGTCCGCTTTCCGGAGCGAGGCATCCTCTCAATCGTCGCCCTTTTGTCGTACACGTGTCTGTGCATGAGCAAATATCGGCTTCTATCGACCTGACCCAGCTTGACGACAAACATGCGATGTGCTAGAAGGCCGTAATCCCACCAAGTTTGAGACAATAATCCATCGATGATGAACCAGAATCCTGGAGACCACTGGCGCGGGCCTGGAGGGCCCCCTCAGAGTGAGGCCCAGCCACAGGGAAGACCTTTTGCCAGCTTTGGGTATGTTTGAACTCTCGCATCATTTCGCCGCACACTCATGCGAAACACTGAATCGTGTTCAATTCGACCTCACTATGCTTGCTGCCGCTATTTGTTCTGCTAACATGTGCGGTATGTCAACAGTCCCAATGGACCAGCGCAACCACCTCCCCACTTACCACCGCCGCCCTCGTCTTATCATCAACACCACTCGCAGCCTTCGGGAAGTCACAGCCTGTCCATCGCAGACTTGACTCAGGGCCCTCCCAGTCATCAGCAGCAACATCAGTATAATACTCAACCACCGCCTCCACAGCCCCAAGGTCTCCCAATAGGGGGGCCTATGGGACATACCATGCCTCAGCACTCACCCCAATACCTCGGCCGCGATAGGGAAATTAGAGAGCTCCGGGAGCGAGAAATGAGGGAGCATGAGATGAGGGAAAGAGAGATGCGCGAGCGTAACAACCTCGAGATGCAAAGACAAAGAGACGAAATGATCATGCGTGAACGAGAGCGTGAGGCTCAGGAGAGGGAACAAATGGAGCGCATGCACCGAGAACAACAACAGCATCAGCAGCAATCGCAACAGCAAGCACAGCAACAACAGCAGTCGCAACCGCAGCAACAGCGCCCTGTCCAGAGCCATGCTGGCTCCATTCCTATCCATCAACCTGTAGCCTCGAAGGTTCAAAACTCCATACATGGTCCGAATGGCCTTCTGGCAAATGGCGGGCCAGGTGCTTCCACCGGCGGGGGCCTTTTTGCAGGACCGGGACAACATGAATCGCAGAGATCATCCCAATACATGCAGCAACCGGTGCCGACGGCGCCGCCACAACCGGGTCAGCCTTTTATGCCTGGTCCATCTCCCATGCCTGCTCCGGCACAACTAGCCCACGGCCAACAACCCATTCTGAATGACGCTTTGAGCTATCTTGACCAAGTCAAGGTACGCTTCAGTGATCATCCGGATGTTTATAACAGGTTCTTAGACATTATGAAGGACTTCAAGAGCCAAGCAATTGACACGCCGGGAGTCATTGAGCGTGTATCAAATCTGTTCAACGGTCACCCCGCCCTCATTCAAGGTTTTAATACCTTCCTTCCGCCAGGGTACCGCATAGAATGCGGGACCGAAGAGAATCCAGACGCCATCAGGGTCACAACTCCTAGTGGTACAATGACCCAGTCCCTCCAGGGCAGAGGCCGCGCGCAATTCGAGCCTGCCCCGCAACCTCCAGTTGCTCGACAAGATACATTTGAAAGCAGACACGGATGGGGCCAGCCCCTTGGCGCTTCGCCAGGCGCGAGATCGGCAGAACTGCCTGGATATAAGCCGGCATCTGGTGAAAGACCCATGGATGAAGTTTCCAGTGCCGTTACTCAGCAAGAACAACGTGGCGTCTCAACTCTCCAAAGTGCAGTTACTGCGGTGACTAACGGAGCGTCAAGGCCGGCTCTTGCCGTATCACCTGGACCAGGTCAAGGCGGTACATATCCTCAGCAGGCCGCCGCGTTCAGTGGTAATGCGGGCATCGGTGAATTGAAACGTGGGGGACCGGTCGAATTCAATCATGCTATCAGCTACGTGAATAAGATAAAGGTATATTTGATTTTTCCCCAAGTTGCACACCTCACTAGCTGACCTGTATGCAGAATCGGTTTGCGCAACAACCTGAGATTTACAAGCAGTTTCTTGAGATCCTGCAAACTTATCAGCGAGAGTCGAAACCGATCCAGGATGTATATGCTCAGGTCACACAGTTATTCATATCTGCTCCAGATCTGCTCGAGGATTTCAAACAATTCTTACCCGAATCTGCGGCTCAAGGAAAGGCACAGGCTGCTCGCGCTATGAATCAACAAGAAGAGACTAGCAATGTTCGCGGCGAACCTGGATATGCAAGCAGCGCCGTTCCCCAAGCTCAAACTCCGAGGCCTGCCTCGAAAATGCCACCCATGGGCCAGTTTGACCCACCTAGCACAAGCAAAGACAACAAAAAACGCCGCGGAGGACCTGGAACCGCTCATTCCAACCAACCGGCGGCACAGCTAGTTGTTGACACCAGCGTCACCCAAGGTCCACGAGCTGCTCCCGTTCAGGTTGGGAATGTTAGCAAAGTAAGTTCACTTCACTCTCCCTTCCAGCTGTTTGGTTCCTGAGAAGCGCATTCCTTTCTTGCCAAATCCTGGGAGTTTGATCTTTTACTAATGTCAGTGGCAGCGCCCCAAACTCGCCACTCAACGTCAGCCACAACCTGATTTGGTCGTCACTTCACCAACCCTCGTGCCGCAACTGCCTGAACCCCTTCCACCGTTTCCTAACTCATCTACCACTCAAGAAGAGCTTGCATTCTTTGACCGCGCAAAAAAACAGATTGGCAACAGGGCCAGTTATGCTGAGTTTCTCAAACTCATCAACTTGTATTCTCAAGATCTTATCGACAAGTACACTTTGGGAGACAGAGTTGGCGCTTTCATCGGTGGCAATCCTGATCTAATGAGTTGGTTCAAAACCTTCCTCGGTATTGAGGATCAAGAGGAGGTGATCGAGGCTCGTATACGACCCGATCCTGGCCGCGTCAATCTCTCCCATTGCCGTGCCCTTGGACCTAGCTACCGTCACCTCCCTAAGCGTGATCAGGACAAACCTTGCAAGGGACGAGATGGGATGTGTTATGAAGTCCTGAATGATGTTTGGGCTTCTCACCCTACTTGGGCTTCCGAGGACTCTGGCTTTGTCGCACACCGCAAGAATCAATATGAGGAAGCTTTGCATCGAATCGAAGAAGAGCGACATGACTATGACTTCCACATCGAGTCATGTCAGCGGACCATTCAACTCATGGAGCCCATTGTCCAGCAAATTGGAGTTATGAATGATGCAGATCGAGCCGCCTTCATTCTAGCACCAGGTTTGGGTGGCGCAAGCGAAGCCATCCCCAAACGCATCATCATGAAGATATACGGCCGCGAGGCCGGCGCTACGGTGATGAGAGAAATGTTTGCCCGTCCCACCGCCGTCCTGCCGATTGTTCTTGCGAGACTCAAACAGAAGCTTGAAGAGTGGAAGCAAGTGCAACGAGAATGGGAAAAGGTCTGGCGCGACCAGATTCACAAGCAATTCTGGAGAAGCCTGGACCACCAGGGAATCAACGCGAAGAATCTCGACAAGAAGAACTTCCAGCAAAAGGCACTAACGAGTGAGATCCAGGCGAAATACGAAGAAGCGAAGAAGAACCGCGACGACGGTATTGTCGGGAAGCGGCATCAGCTCCAGTACTATTTCAATGACTTGGACGTCATCACCGACGCGACCCGGTTGATCCTGGTGTCCTTGGACTCCGACAGGCAACAGACCTTTAACAGCGGGGAGCAAGAGCGAATTAGGGGATGGTTGGTTGACTTCCTCGTCCGTTTTTATGGTCTCGATGGCGAAAAGTTCTTGGAACAAACCGAGATTGTATCAATAAGACACCATCACGAGCATGACGAAACTGCCGATGGTCATGATAGCGATGCTCACCCCCCGGCCAAGGGTAAGGCCCAGCGGAAGTCGGACTGGCTTAGGAGGATGGCACTTGAAAGGAGACATGGCAAGGAGGACAGCGTTGCATCGGCAAGCAAAGAGTCTACCCCAGCTCCAGGTGCTAGCAGCGAGATGGAAGTTGACGAAGATGCTCCGGTGTCAGATGTCCCTGATGAGCCTCAACAGCCGTGGATCAATGTGGCCAACAGCGATACATCTGCCCGTCATCTGGCTATGGACGAGACATATCCCCACACGACGTTCAACCTCTATGCGAACGCCAACATCTACTGCTTCTTCAGACTGTTTGAGATGCTGTACAGCAGATTACTTGCCATCAAGCTCAACGAACCTAATGTCCAAGAAGCTGTTGCGAGACACAAGGGTTTAAAGGGAAGAATTAAGCCTGCCATCGAGCTCCGCATGATTGACAAAGGACCGGACTACTTCTTTTATAACATTGAGGGAAAGCAGAACTACTATCAACAAATATTGCAACTGTGCCAGGAGGTCTTGGTGGGCACTGTCGATCTCGCTCACCTTGAAGAGACGCTGAGGCGTTACTACAACAAGAGCGGCTGGCAACTTTACACGATCGACAGACTTGTCTCAGCTATTCTTCGCTTTATTATGAACATCCTGGGTGGCGATGCTAAGGACAAGAGCGTTGAGATCACGAACCTCTTCTTGCGAGATCGAGAGCGCCCCGACACCAGCAGAAAGCAGGAAATTCAGTACCGAAAGCAGGTTGAGCGATTGTCCAAGGACGCCGAGGTGTACCGTATCAGCTATGTAAGTTGAGCACGTGCGTGATTCCAAGCTGAAGACATGACTAATCTCTCGTAGACTCCTGAAGATCGGCTTTGCACCATACGCTTATTCCCATCCGAAGATGCTACTTTTGACAGCGACTCTCTCTCAGATGAAGCTCGGTGGCAGTACTACATCGCGTCTTACACAATGACCGACGCAACCGAAGGTGTAGACCAGTCGCGGATGCACTCCCCCTATCTGCGACGCAACATTGCTCCCCAGAACGCCAACATTGAAGCCGCATATCAGGAGGTGTACGGCAACCTTGATAACCTCGATGAGCAGACTGCCTTCATCAGTCCTGACTCCTACAAGCTTCTGCTTCAAGGTGATTTCGGGTTCTTTCGACGAAGCGCGGTTGAGAAGCCGCCGAGAAAACCATACGAAAAGGGTAGAATGGAGGAAAGCGAGAGATTCAGAGAGAAGTTTGTGCGCAACACGGCGTGGATGAGGGACCAGAGAGCCGAGGATGTCGAACGCAAGAAGGCCGCGTGGGAGAGAGGCGTGAGAGACGGTTTTAGCGGCTACGACATTTGAGGCAACCCTAACTGTTGTGGTACGTGGAAGATGTACACATATGCACGGGCCGACGATATGGTCTTGTGCACAGGTTTCAAAGAACGTCGACGAAAAGGATTAGGTCGGGAAGGATCAGAGCGGCCAGTCCGTTCCTGGTGAAAGGTAGGACAAGAAAAAAGGTCCCCGCGAGCGTTGTTTAAGTACGGAGTATTCGATGGTACCCTTCATTACAGAGGCCGAACAACTTTCGAAAGACATAGATCGGGGAGTTATGCTGTGACACCTTGATCCTACGAGGGACGAATACAGTACAAGGAAAAATACCGAGTAGAGATTACGAAGTGGCAATTCCGACGCTGTGAGCCCCCGAGCCTCGCGAGACAAAAAGCAAAACCACGGGCAAAGTATCCAGCTTCTGGGGATCACTCGTTACACCGCAATTCCTTTACTACGTGGGTAAATAGGTGACACCATCTTGTGGGTGGAAGGCGATAAACTTCTCTTGTGGTTGGCATCTTCATATACCTAAACACATGTTCTGGTCTTTACCATATCATTCAACGGACTGTATCGTACTCTAATGATACCACGCCGTACCCCACGGCTCCTGGTACTTGCTATCATATTGAGGCAGTTAATATGATTTGCGAATCCATCAACGCAGACTCGAGTAGTGGCAGGTTTGCAGCAGATGCAGCAACAGGAAGATTGCAGCGTAACCTCGTCTCAACACATCCAGTCGATGACTGTCCCTCCAAAGAGAGAAGCACATGTCTGTACCGGGAAGGGGGGAGTCTTAGTCGAGCAGTGCTTTACGTACTGGTGTATTCCCATCCAAAAAGCTGCCAACCCCCTCGACCAGTAGATCGAGGTACTTACAAGGGAGCCAGAAAAAGTCAATCTCGGTGCCCAAGGGGACCCTGAGCAAAAAGGCCCTGGTTGGATCTGGTGGCAGTTCGTGGTTGCTTGGGTGAGGACCACGCAATGGGCGCGCAAAGCACGAAATTTGAAGTTGAGAATCGGCCCAACTCAAAGAGGCCAAGGAGACCTGGGGTGTAAATGGAGCAAACCGTCTTGACCCGTCTTGACCGCTAACCGGGGCAATCTTAATGGCGTTCAACCAAGCTTTGTAGCTAGTCCAAATATGGTTTGGCTGTGAGCAATAAATCTCCGCAATCACCCTCCTTCCCCCTTTTCCGCCCCCTTCACCACCGCCCTCAACCGGCGCAGCCAGTCACCTCGTGACCGTCGTCTTCACCTTGGGAATTGCTTGCATATCCCCATACCATAATGGCGCCCCCTCCACCTCGCACAGCCTCCTGCTCGAGGATCGTCCTCCTCCGCTCCCAAGTATCCAGCCTCCTCTCATAGGTCAGAAACCTTATCACTTCATCTTGCAGCGCCGAGAAGCCACCCAAACAGCCAGTGACATCGCGTGTTTCAGATCGCCCAATCTCCCCTTAGCCCCTGTCGGTGATCCTGACTACGTGAAGAAATGTCTTTCTTGCGAATCTCTGCCATATCAATGGCCAACTCACCAACACAAGTTGATCTTCCGGCGTCACAAACGTGACCCATACCCAGTAGTTGGAGCCCACGTTTTCACTGGCGAAAGCTCTCGAAGCGTACTCCGTAGAGGACACCGAGGTCTCAAATGTCTGCAGACAAACCGGAGCATCAATATGTCTCCAATGTCACTATCGTCTCTTTTTTGATCAGCATTCTTCTTCGGTTGGCCTTTTTCCAACCAATCCAGCTCTGGAGAATCGTTAAGAAGCCCCGGAGAGTCAGCCATGCCAGTTCGAGGTCACCGAGCTTAATATCCAAGCAACCAGACCCGAAATCGCTAAGCTCGGTGCGCTGCGTTGCCTGCTTATGGGCCAAACACACACCAAGTTCCCACAGGAGGGCGCTAAACGAAATTCGCAGATTTGGCGCTATCCCCATAAGTCGAGGCTCCGGCTGGTGTTGCACCGTGCTGCATGCCTATATGCACCTTATCATGTCCCTCAAGAAAACTTTCTCTCCCTCTCTACAAGGCTCTGCTCATGGTCTCTTGAGGTGCTTCACAAGAGTTCCGCGTTTGTGTTTGTTTTTCAGCGTTTCCAACTACCGCGTCCACTCGTTTATGCGGGCATTCTTTTATTGAGCAAAGACAAACTTGGAGTAGGACAATCCCCAGTAATCCCGGCCGACAAAACAACTGAAAGAAAAGGGACTTCTTTTGAACATGAAGGCTGTTACAATTGCCGCTGCTGGTGCAGCGGTCGTCACAACCGTTTCCGCCGCCAGCCATGCCAAGCACATGCATGCGAAACTCCACGGAAATGTTGCACGCGACACCTGGGTCGACTGGAATGCGACCGCTTCTGCTTCTGTGACACCTGTAGATGGAGAGACAGCGAAGACCACCACGAAGGCTCCTGTCAAGGCTGCTACCACTACAGCTAGCTCTTCAAGCTCATTCCTCTGGGAGGACTGGACTTCTTCCTCCCTTGCGGTTGACCCAGCAAAGACCTCGAGCACCACTTCTAGCACGACTACCTTTGTTGAAACATGGGCGGATTGGCCAAGCTCGGGCTCTTCGTCAACCCCCGTCGAGGGCGCAAAAATTAGCACAACTACGGCTTCCGTCGAGCATACTTGGGCCGATTGGACTAGCGCGTCATCGATCCCGGTCGACCCTGCGACTACCAGCACCGAGGAGCACACCTGGGGAGACTGGACTACGAGTGATCCGGTTGACCCTACAACAACCGTCACCGAGACCTGGGGTGACTGGACAACTGTCGACCAAACCACAACCATCACTTTGGCCTCTACTGTTACGGCGACCAAATACGTCGAGCCCGTCAGCGCTGAATCGACGGACTCGTCTACGTGGGCGGATTGGACCTCCACTTCAGCCTCCTCGGTCGCGGCGGCCGTCACCAGTGTCATCACCTCGACAGTCACCCCGGGCTGGTTCGGTCCTTCCGTGGCCGTTGAAGCGGACAGCTGCGCCATCTCCATCATTACTTCTTATGGCCTCCCCACTTGTAAGTAGTCTCAATCCCCTTGAACGGACTCTCTAACCCGGAAATCCAGGGTATCCGACACCTGTACTCGCTGTAAACACAACAAGCAGCACTACTTCAAGCGCAACATGGGCCGATTGGACTGCGTCAACCTCCAGCACGCCAGCTGCTGCTGCAACAACAACAACCAGCACCTCTTCCTACGTCTGGGCTGATTGGACCTCGACTTCAACCTACAGCCCAGCGGCTGTGGCTACCTCGAGCGAGACATGGGCCGATTGGTCATCTACGATTGAAACTGCGTCTGTGTCTGTGAGCACTGCAAGCAGCTCTGCCTCTTCAGGTTCTTGGTCAAAGCCAAGCGGTGGTTCGCAGGGTGGCAGCCCTGGTATCTCATCGAATGGCGATTCGTGGGGCATGACTTATTCTCCCTACACTGCCCAGGGCGGTTGCAAGGACGCTGGTACCATCGCCGCTGACATGGCCGTCATCGCACAGAAAGGATTCTCCTCTGTTCGCGTTTACAGCACTGATTGCAGCACGCTCGAGAACATTGGCGGTTCTGCCCGCGACAATGGCCTGAAACTTATTTTAGGTGTCTGGATTTCATCGACAGGCATCTCCGGTGCTCAAGGCCAAGTCCACGATATTGTTGCCTGGGCACAGTGGGACATTGTCGAACTCATTGTCGTCGGTAACGAGGCCGTCTTTAATGGCTACTGCTCTGCCAGTGAGCTGGCTGGATTTATCTCCAGCAGCGCCACTGCTTTTAAGGGCGCCGGTTATACTGGTGCAGTAACCACGACTGAGCCTTTGTCTGTCTGGGAAGACACTAGCAGTGCGTCCGCCTTCTGCGGCGTCGTTGATGTTGTCGGTGCCAACTTGTACGCCTTTTTCAACGCTCAAGTGACTGCCGACAAAGCTGGTAGCTTCATCCAGTCGGAGATCAATATCTTGGATGCGGTTTGCTCTGGAAAGCCTGTCTATGTCTTGGAATCTGGGTGGCCTCACGCTGGCAACTGCAACGGTGCCGCTTGCCCCAGCCCTCAAAACCAGGCCACCGCCCTTAAGGGTATTCAGGAAACCGTGGGTGCTCAAGTCGTCTTCTTGAGCTACGAGGATGAGCCGTGGAAGGAGCCGGGCCAGTTTGGCGTGGAGCAATTCTGGGGTTGCGCCGGTGTCTTCTAGCCGAAATGGTAGTGTCTTCGGTTCCAACCATTTCTCAGGTTGTGCCTGTTGGAAGTAGTGCAAGATTAGAAAGGCCGAGGAGCGAAGAGAAAGCCACGCAGCAAGCGAGTCAGTGTCATGTATGAAATTGCACAGTCAGTCAGCATTGCCACAAGTGTACAGTTGTGAGAGTGGCATGTTACGATGTCTGCTTTGATCTTTGTTTGAGTTCCTTTATATATTCGTGTAGATTATTTGAACACTGTCTACCCGACGTTGGGTGTAGAGAAGACTGGTTTCAGAATGATGAAGATACGAAATGTTCTTCGCATGTGCATAGGTTTGATCCGCGAAGGCCATAGGAGGGAGTTCTCGTAGAGAGGTCCTCCGACTGGCATAATGGAGCGGAGCCTTGTGCCGTTACTGCTGTTGTTCCGCGAGGCTGGGACCTAAAGGGGGTCACGGAAGGTGCCGACGCCAAACTTTGGACTGAGTTTCTCAAGATTCTATTTTGACTTCTTGTCTCTCCTTCACTTCCCATCCTTTGTCATTTTCTCCCGAGTCCAGTATAATGGCCACCCTCGCCTCCGTGTCTCTGGCTGAAAAACGCGCGGCCTTTCTTGCGATCTTCCTCACGGCCGGGCTTGTTAGGATCCGGGCCCCTGCACAAAACAACCACTACATTGTCCTTCACTCGCAAGGTTCCCGGTCAGTTGCTGTTTTGAGAGAGAGGCAGGTAACCCTGCATTATCAGGGCATTTATCACTCCACATATCCCCTTTCCGGTCATGACCAAAGTTGTTTTGGAGACGATATGATGGAGAGAGCATCCTTCGTCATCGTCACCTCCGATTAGGCAAAGACAATCTGTCTTCCAGGCACAAATTCGTGGGTTGGCACCCGTTGCGGCTCAGATTCGATACCAATATGGCCTTGATTGATACTTGCCATTCAATATGGCCAAAATTGGACTCAGAGACGCGCGACGCGGGAATTGTTGGCCGTTGTTGACCACAGCCCGACCCGAGGAAAGCGTTCATTGTTAGCACACGTCCCTACCAACAAATCGGGAACACAAGACACTGCGTCGGTCACCGCCAGCTCATATCTGCTCCAACCGCTGATGTTAGAGGACTGCCGACGCGCACTGAATATCCCTCACCAAAATCGGGCGCAGAGCAAGAGGGCGAACAAGGCAACCGCTAATGCCACGCCAATGCAACTTATTGGAATATAATAGGCGAACTGCAGCGACATGGCCTGCTGAGCTGTGCAAGGTTGGTTGAAGCACCAGCATATAAGGAACACCATTTCCACGACCAGAAAAACAGCGGCCCCGTCTCGTCTTTGATCGATTCTACACACAAGGGTTTTGTCCATCCAGCTCAGCGGCGTCAGAGCTACCTTGCCTTATCCACGGCTTCTCACAATTGTCTTCCTTTCTCATTGGCTCGCCTAACTCATTTCTCAGCGGAGTTACTAATCTCCAGAGATAGGGAATGAAATTGCCGAGCGAGAGCGAAGAAACACCGCTCGCCCGGAGACAAGCGCAGGTGCAAACTTGCACCCGCAACAAGCAGCCGAGTCCTGCCGCAGAGCCGCATCGGATCAATGGTCTTCCGATCACTGTGTGTGGAACTAACTCTCTCCCCTTTTCTCGCCATCGCCCCGGCCTGTGTACCAACCTGCCAGGCATGCAGTCCTGTGAGACTGGAGGGGCGGAATGCCGCCCCATGCGCCACACCACCCTTGCTCGTTCGCATCCAACCAAGTCCATCGCCAGACGAATTGTGCCGCTTCACATACCACTTAGAAGACGAAGCCGTCGATCTCATTGTTAGACCGGAGAATCAGCGGCCCCTTGAGTGCCTCGAGAGTCTCCAGTCTTATATTGAAGCAGGTCACGAAGGGCACAGAGGAATCCAAATTCCTTCCACGGAGCGTGCCATTGGCCAACAGCGTCATTCCTGTCGCCCAAGCGTTGCACCGGCTAAAGCTGGGGCTTCAGAATCCTCTTGTTTTGACGCCATCCTCGGCGCTAAGACTGCCATCGCGGCCGACAACGGGCTGTTGATTCGGCGGTAGCTATCTGCCTAACTGGTAAGTTCACCTGGTGCATGTGCTAAGTGCCCATCCATTCCGGCTTTGCTTGCTGGTGTATTTTCTTGTCCAAGCACTATCATTTATGTCTTGCCGCGACCACTTTTCACAGTCTCAGCCCTGGTTCACAAGTACCTTTCAGACCATCCTCCAGGTTCTCTGTTTCCCCTTTTCCCTCTTTCCTTGCTTTTCGTGCCTTGCTCAATTCTTGTGGACAATCTCGACCCCGTCATACCTGCGATGGATCAGGGTGGTCCTCCGTACGCTTCCCCTTTTTTCCTGCGCATTCAACACGTCCAATATCAAGAACATCCCAATACACCACCTCTCGTCGAAAGTCCAGACTTCTATTGGCGACCATCCCGAACAGGTCAGTTTATAAAACTGAGTTCAACAGGATGGTGGATCTGGGATCCCGGTCAGTTTGCAATAGGAGTTGACAACTTGGCGCGCCTACGTCGACCAACGGCCGTCGAATTGGCAAGGCGTGAATTGCATAGAACTAGCACTCTGATCTGGGATCCAGAGCGCCACGGTTACATACATGCGCCCATCGATTGCGTTGCCACGTACCCTTCTGACCCCAGCGTATGGAGGCGACTCTCCTTTGGACGCACGACACCTGATCTGGCAATCATTGGCTATTCCAGGGAGAGCTACCGGCTTCACATTCCAGGGCCAGATTACTGGTTTGAGCAACTGCTTCCCGATGTCTGCAGGGCGCAGATGACCGGGGAACCAAGATGTAAGCTGGCTGGTCACCTTAGCATCCTCGTCGGCCTTCTTGCGTTTTGGGTTGAACCAGATCTCGACTATTGCGCAGTCGACTGGTCTTTTAGATATGACACGTCCTCTACGCTGTTCCAGCGACATAATTACGACCAAAATCCGAGTAAGTTCATTCCCACATCATCAGCATGCTTCGTCTTCAGACTCTTACTTGTCGGCGACAAATGTCAGGACATGAGAAACGCACAATGGTTATCGAGATTGGATACGATCCAGTGAAAGTGACCCGAGAAGACCTTTGCGCTTGGGAGGAAGGTCAACTCGGCGAAATATTTAGCTAGATAAAGCTACATACGTTATCAGCGCCGTCAGCTGATTGCAAAGAAGACACACATGGAGATGCAGAACAAGAACACAAGAATTGGGAAATGGTTACGGTACAAGATCTCGTTTCTCGAGACAAGAGGAGGACTCAAACGGTCGAAAGAGCTCATCACTCAGCTCATGCTGCTTCCGACAACAACTACGACCTTTTTCCTGTTGGACTGTCTGGTCGACAATGGACGCAACTTGCTTGGGAGATTGCTGCTTCGCCACTTTACGACGTTACAAACTTATGACTTCCGACAGAAATGTCGACGGCCTACGACTACGTTCTGGCGCTTACTGTTACGAATCGCCCGTTGAATGACGAATGCGTGTCTCAGTATACGAGGGAGGCACTGCAGTCTGGATCTTGATTTCTTTGTTCCACGTTGCACTTTTGGATTGCTTGATATTCCTCTCCAGTTCGCGCTCGTTGTGTTCTGCTGCTGCAGTTATTGTTGAATGTTTAGTCACATTGTTGTTTTGTCTGCTCAAGTACATGAATAGAGCACCGCAAGTCCTCCGGATAGGGTGGATGGCCCAGCCTGTCTTTATCGAGCGATTTATCGTTCGACATTATGTTACTTATTTACTCAATGTCTATGATGCTATATGATGTGATGTTGACAATTGAATGATTGAACGAATGAATTGTCTCCTTGCATGCCACCTAAACATGTATATCTTGATTCTATACAGGTTTTCTTTCCAGCTAGGGAGCTAACTATCTATCCACCGTGTTAGGGATCTTCACTACGGGGAGGGAGAAGAGGAACAGAATGATGTACACAGGCAAGAAGGACGCAACTTGGCAGGGTAGTAAATATGCAGCTCTTGCAGGCGGCTCGTTTCGGTCTTTCGCTCTTCTGTATCTTTACGTTATCTCTCTCTCTCTCTCTCTCCACCTCTATCCTTTGTTTTTAGTCTCTTTTAAAGTTTTCATCTCTTTAATGCTTTTTCCCTTTTTAGGAGGCTGGTCTCAATTTATATTTCCCATTTGAGACATCCGATTCGATTCGGCAGAATCAAAGGGAAAAAAACAACTGGAATGGAGAATAGGAATTACATCGAGGAATTTGGAGGGGAAGGGATGGGAGGGAAGAGGAGAAAAAAGAAGAGAAGAAAAACAAGGGTGAAAGAATCCCTGGGGCTTTCGAGTTCGAGCGTCTGCGTCGTCTGGACCGTCGTCGGCCGGTTCGTTCGGTTCTTCTCTTTCTTCACAGTCATGATGTTTTTCTCTCTTCATATTGCTTTTGAATGTATTCCTTTGCAATGAGCTTGCTCAATAAACCCCCTTTTCTTTTCGCCAGAGCCCCATTCCGTCGCCAGCCTTGTGACGTGTTTTGTCTCGCGCTTCGCCTGTGATATTGGGCCTGATAGAAGAGGAAGGAGAGTAAGGAGAAGAAGAAAGTAAGTACAGTGGGCGGTGAATAACGGGCGGGCCGCCTGTCTAGGGCACAATAAGGCGGTCGTGGCGGAAGTGGCCATGGTTGTGTCTGTGTTCGGAGAGGAGAAGGTTTTGAGGATGTATCGCTTGGGGGTTTTGAGAACTTATAATAAGAAGCCGGGAACCAGTCAGTCTCTGTCACATCATGGCTTGCACAGAACGATAAGCATACATGGAAAAGACAAGGAGGGCGAGAAGGGGATGTGCCAGCGATGGCTCTGCCAAATCATCTCAGCCCAAATGCACAATGGACAATACTTACGACTCAACAGTATAGAGAACTCCTTTGTCACATAGATTCATAGTCTAGACTAGTGAACCTGGCGGCGTTGTAGTAGATTGTGCCGTTGAAGGTGGTTATCGTGACATCTTGGCCCTAGGGAGCGCAGTCCGAGACAGCCGATGAGATCGGTCGAGTATTTGGCATGGAGTTCCAGAACGTGGTATACTCGAGGGGTATGTTTGCTTTGCTTCCAGCATTCAAGGACGACGTGATGCCGCGCGAGCCAAAGCTAAGAAGAATATATCTATGAGAACAAGGAGGATGACGAGGTTGGGGAAAAGAGTGAGCTGACGCAGGCTGTCTAGGTGGGCTGCCAGGGCCGGTCGAACACCTACAAATGTCCAATCGCTTCCACCCGTGATATGTATATTAAGTCGCAGTCCACGGTGCCATGGTCAAGTCCTTGGGCTAACCTTGTGACGGTGCCTTGGGGATTGTGGCAGAAAAGGTGACTGGAATATTCAATGGCCCATCTATAGTATGCAAGGATGAGGACGCTCTGAAATAGTAGCCAGCCTGCAGCGACTTGGATTAGTTGAGCAGTTGCCCAAGTCGGGAAACAAATCGGTATTTCCAGGGCCATCCCTTGGTGACATCGGGCTCGCGGCCTAATACTACCCAACAAAGGTAGATCTGGTCTACGGCGGATCGTGCATCAAGCACTTGTGCGCCAATGATGTTGACATTGCTAAGATGGTGATCCAGCGTCGAAATGATGTCTTTCAGGTTCCAGGATTGAGATTTGCTTTAGTTTCCTCGAGCTGGAGAATAGAAAACCTGTGGACTTACATGGCGGACAATAGCATCGTTGGGAGGCGCCGGTAGTGGATGAGCTCTTGTCCATCGGATTCGCCTGAGCGATTGCTTCCCTTGGAAACTTCCAAGTCAACCCCTGTCATGAAAAGAAGATTTGATGGGTGATATTTCCGAGGATAGTCTGGGTGAAAATTTTAGGCCCAGGCTATTGCGTCAATATAACGCGAACTTTATCAATTGTAGATGCTGAGATAAGGCGTAGATGGGGATGTTCGGACTCTCTGCCGCGGACCGGGCGACATACCAGAAGGCTTGACAACAACACTTGCAAAGTCTGATGCAACCTTGTCACAGCTCAGTCAGCCAAAGACCATCGCAGAGCCTCTCAGACTCCCTGAGGCTGTCGGGGAAGGGAAGCCTCCTGCAGGGCAAGATTCAAGTCCTCGAGGCTCTCAAAAAGCGCCCCATCGGGTATTCCGGTCCCCGGCAATACGGCAAGGGAAATACGAGGACGGGGGAGACCCTGGCCTGTGAAACACGAGAAAAAGAAAAGGAAACATAAGAGCCGCAGGCCCGTCGCGCCGGCCTGGGTGTCAGAAGCAAGCCTGATGCCGGATGACGCTTTGTGTAGGTAGCAGTGGCGCCTCGGCCCTCGTTAAAGCATTGGGTTCGGCTTGGTGCAGAAAACGCTTCAACTGCCCAAATAGTCCTCATTCATATCTGGCCATTTCTAGACTACGAGGTCGAAAGTTCTGGATGGGCAGCCACGGAGTTCTGGGTGGCGTTCGGTGTGACAGCTGGTGACATGGGATTTGATTGAAACCTGTTGGTTGGAGTTGTTTGTGGAGTGAGATGGCGCCAAGCTTTGTCTAGCCAGATGTGGCTTAAGGCGGAATCGATGGTTGTGGACCCTTCTTTTTCTCCAACTTCCTGCTTCACCTTCTGGTCAACTCTCAACCCTCAACTCTCCCTCGTCTCCCCCTTCCCCCATCCGCCTTACTTACTGGGTACATCGTACTCTACGCTAGCCTACGCCACACCTCCCACACTTCGGGCCCCAATGATGTCCTAAAAGAAGTAGCCACCATGTAGACGAGCTCCTGCGATGGGACTCAGATCGGCTTTGCGCACGGATCTCTACTCGGTACCCAGTACAAACCTCACGGCTGGAGAACGGGCTTAGCCACGTGACTTGCCAGTTCAGCCTGGACATGCGACTGGCGAAGGTGGACTGGGCTTAGCAAACCCTTCGGCGAAGCTGGAAAGAGAGAAATGGACCTCGTGTTCCAGGCATACGGTTGTCTGTATGAGGTATTCATACATCTTACCAGCTTCATTTGGAGTATAGGTACTGTACCGAGTACTAGATACCGAGGAGGGAGGAATGCCGCGGTAATGAGGATACGCTGAAACACGTCTCGCCAGACAAGGTAAGATGAGGAGACTGACGGAAAGGTTTAGGTAAGCCAGGTTGGCCCGGGTGAGCGTTCTGAGACCTGACTCCCTAGGCCTTCAATCAACTCGGCTGTTTCTGAGACCTGACTCCCTAGGCCTTCAATCAACTCGGCTGTTCATGCGATCTTTCTCCTGGAGATGCCTTCAACAAGCGAACTATGGTGGCTAGTCTCGCACAGCTTTTAGGGTATGGAAAGTTGAAGCGGTCACAAACCGTGATCCAAGGTCAGCAAACGGCTCGAACACGACTATCCGTTCCGGTGATTTCAGGAAAAACTCCTCGCCGGTTCGAAAGCGACGCTGGAATCTGTCAAAACTAGGTCAACTTTCAGAGTTTCCCAGATGACAAGAAAACCATCACGAACCGTTGCAACCGCCATCACACCCACCAAGTCAAAGGCCCACGCTGACTGAATCTTGTCCGGACCCCAAGCCTTGAGAATAGCTTCGACACCCCTTGCTTGGTCCATAAGATTCTCGGGACGACCACAAACAATCTACCCCTGATATCAGTGATGACGCCCGAAATACAGGTTCAAAACGGAAGGGCTCATAATCTCCGAGCACCACCATCGCCACAACCACATCTTCAAAATAAGTGGGCTTGAGGTGACTCAACAACATATTTCATGTCGCTGGGTGCCCGAGTGTACAGATCATATTCTAAGAATTTAGTGATCCGCTCCTGACATTGCAATCTAGCATGCGCCGACAGGAAAGCGGCGACGGCTGAGTCCAAAGCCCTGCTGTTGCCGATGTGTAAGGGTAACTGGGTCAAATGCTTGCCGACCAGTTGTAACGCGAATCCTGTGGTGTTGGTACTTTCGATGGCGTACACCAGCCTTTGGTCGTCGCTCAAGCCGGGCGAAGCGATTAGGTACGCTGATTTTGGCCACATTTGATGATACAACGAGTCTCTCGGAGAGCGATACGCTACTGACTGTGCGATCATTACCGATTCCAAGGCCGCTGCGCCCGTGTGTGACGGTTCTTGGGCACTTTCCAAGGATGACCGGCGGTGTGAGGGACACCTCCTTGGAATTGATCGAGATATACTCTCATTCGTGTGCGCCTGACAAGCTGGACTGGTGCCAGAGCACTCTCGGCCAGACTTTTGGCTAATGAGGCACAATGGCTCGTACTTGTTGCACTATGTGATTTGCTCTGTCTTATTCAGCAAGAACGGAGAAAACCACAGATTTGAGTGTTTGAAGATGGAGGGACAGTGCCGTCACGCGATGAAGAACAACCGGGCTCCGTTGTGATAGAGGATCAGCCAAGCCGTTGATATTTGCAGGTTCAGGTCGGCGACTCCAAACCATAAGACAGACGCACCGATGTGATGAGTGGACAAGAATGTCCCAGCAAGGGGCACGAAGTCTTCCTTTAAATGGACGAGGGAAACGAGGCACTGCTCCAGCCAAGGCTGAACCCCCGACAATTAGACAAAATTGCCAAAATTGAGCTTCGATAGCGAAGTGATCGGTTTTTCAACTTTCAGCTGGGACCCTAACCGATCAGTGTTGTGGCTGATCGATTATTTGGGGAGGTCATGGATTTCTAACACGGATATGCTACCCAGCAGCGTTGTAAAATGTAGTATGTGCCGGGATGTAAGGGGCTTAAAAATATATCTGGGTAATAAATGATGCGAGTGATTCCCACAATCGGCCGGTCACTTCTAGAAGGCCAACTCTGAATGCGAATGCCCACCTAGGCGTTGACAATCTTCAACATCTGAAAGTGTCAAATCCTCTTGCATTGTCCAAGGCAGCTTCACTCAAAGTAGATATCGTCGAAAATTCAATCAACTGTCAGGTGTGTTCGTGGATCGATACCGCAAGCCTCACACCAGTCATGACAAACGTCTTTGCCACGGTATCGGCGACACGTCCATTTCTCGTTCTTCCACCGCGAGAAGCTTCCCCTTGCGATCACAATCATGCTTTGGTCCGTCCGTCGGCGCAGATTTCCCGCCGACGACGTTGCATTTGGAAAAATAAGGCCCGTGTAATTTCTCGCCCGCTTCGAGCGAACAAGGCAGAGGACAGGATGTCTCTTTACCTCGTTTGCTTACCAGGTTGTTTGTTGACCCAGCAGTCAAATGCGCTCATATTCACCGCCCAAATGTCCTCAATGTAGTATTCACCAAGTCATCCGGCCCCTCACAAAACATCAACTTCAGCGGACGGTCACCATCCAGCTGATTCTTCTCCCTCCTCACCACTTCCTCAGCAGCCAGCCGTACGACCTTTTCGAACAGAACGGTAAATTGCTTGCTACCTCTGGTACACCAGCCCACAATCACGCCATCCCATGCCTGCTCCTGCAACTTGTCGTTCAGTGCAGCCAATGTGGCTTCCTCATGGAGAGGATCGAGGTTGAATCCCTGGTTGTTAAATCTTCGCTGCTGCTCAGGCGTAGCTTTTGAACTCCAATCCTCTTCAATGATTTCGGAGATGTCGTGACCAGCGAGGTATTTGGCAAGGGAGATGGTGAGGATGGACTTGCTGGGGGAGTCGCTTTCACCGTTGACGAAAGGGACTTGCGTTTCCATTGGTGCTCGTCTCTCAATCTTGGCAACGATACTTTGATGCTGCTTGTGGTTTCAAGGCTGCGATACCGAGAAGTTGGAGGATAGCCATCTGTTCGACTTGGAGAAATAGGCCTGAGCTGAGGATATGTACGACATTCGGATTTGTCAGGTCGATGTACGACATCCAAGTGCCTCGCATACTAAGAGGTACAATCTAGAGCCTTTGTTGGGCCTTTTCAAGACCTTCGATACGTCGATCTCGAACATGCAGCTCACTAGGGTCCAGGTAGATAGATTTGCACAGTCGATACAGTCGCACAGGCTGTCCAAGAGGCGAGAGGAAACTGCGCCCTAAGTTGCTTGGTGCGCCGTTGGAAATGTGTACGGTGGACCGTGGGCGCCTCAATGTGCTGTTCCGAAGTATGCTGGTTATGTTGATGTCCCCGAAGCCAACTCTTCACAGAACTGTCCACCGTCCTCTCTGACGAGCCCGCTTCGCTTCTTTAATCTTCGACCCTTCGCGCTTGCATTATTCGCGAACAACCACTTGCACAATTGTGGCTCTCGCTCTATGGAGAGCTGCCCCCTTTGAAACCTGAAATCAGGCTGGCTCAGGCTCTTTCCGAATTTGAAGCCATTCTCGACGACGATAACAAGAAAACCTTTCGAAATTGGCGCTAGAGAAAACCTCCACTGGTCTCCAACGCCATGAAGCTTACGGCTGAGATTGGCATGAACAACAGTCATTGCATGGGTTGTCGCTGTTTCGGTCCTCGAATGACTAACATGCCGAAAGCCGTGCACCAATTTTCAACTGTCGTCGACGTTATTGTCGCTGATTGCAACTTCTATCTGGGGGGCGTGCTGCAGATGACTCTGCAGGTAACTTCCAACTGTGCGTCATATTTCGATGACCTGTCAGCCTTATTTATGCGGATCGGACGCTCATGACCCCGCTACCAGGAATATGGCCTTATGTATCCCAAGTCTCCAAGGCTACAGAACGCTCTCTGTGAATATTTCTGCACGGTAACAAACATCTGCAAGAAAGCTGTTCTATTTCTCGGAAAGCCCATCATGGCTAAACTTATCGGCCGCCATCCTCAATCCTTTTCAATCTGAATTCGGCCTTCTCGAGCTCGATCTCTCGACGATGGCAGATACCATACGCGAAGAGGCTTCCCTGGAATACAAACAGGAGGTGGATGTTGAGAAAAAGGATGCCTCTCACTTTCGAGTATGGCTGTCGTCAAGGGCGTCAATGGATATTCAGGAAGCCACGAAATTCAAAGGCCGGAAGGCGAGATTGCAATGTCTCAAGGCTTGCTCGACTTACAACTACCAGGCTGCGTGGAGGAGAGCTCCGAAGGCCGGTACAAGCGCCCGGATCTTCCACCAGGCTGCCTATGAGCAGTGGCTTCAAGACTCTGCGTCCAGCGTGTTGTCGTTCACTGGGATACTGGGATACTGGGATCTGGGATGACGGTGATGACAGCCAGCGTGGTGCTGGAAATTGTGATCAAATACCCGGATGGTTTTGTCTGCTACTTTTTCTGCAGCCACGACGACGCGGAATCGATCAAGGCGAGAACCATTATTGGTAGCCTCGCAAGGCAACTCTTGAGCTTCCTCAACCCTGACGCGTTTGACAACATTTACGTGATCGAATAGGGTGTATTCGACGATACCGAGATCGTGACTCCTCTTCTCAGACTCCTTTCTCAGAATGGACAATATTTCGTTGTTGTCGACGGCCTCGACGAGTGCAACGAGATTGAGCTAAAGACACTATTTGATTGCCTCGACAGGTTTCTCTTGTCAAATCGCCGCTTTCACACCTTCTGTTCAAGCCGTCCAGGCCTCCATACGAGACATCAGGCTTCTCTACAACCCCAAACCAATCTGTCATTACCAGAGGAGAACCCAGAGATCGCCGAATATATCTATAACACATTGGCAGACCGCTTAGCAGCAGGTCGCCTGCCCTTAAGGGATCCAACCATGATCCTGACCATCAGAGATGCTCTTTTTGAAGGAAGCCACGGGATGTTAGCGTTGAAATCTGCAGTAAAATACATGCTAATCTTCCTGTAGGTTTCTCTAAGTCGTGTTTCAACTTGACTTGATATGCGCCGAAGTCGCCAACGAAGCGATCCTGAATGCGCTTCAATATCTGCCAAAAGACTTGCTAGAAATCTTCAATCGTGTCCTCCGGAAATTGGGAGAACAAAAGACTATAAATCCGGACATATGCGGAAAGATCTTTGCGCTTGCTGCTGCCGTTCAACAGCCGTTGCAGATGGGCTTCGCGAGGCGATGAGTGTTGTACCAGGAATACCTAGTGGGATCCACGAAAGCTGATCAATGACATGCAAATGACGGTCAACGGTTGCGGAAGCCAGCTCCTCGTCGACGAGGAGGACTCTGCGGTCCGTTTCATTCATCACAGCGTCGGAGAATATATTATCTCTACTCCATAAGACATGCTCAGTCTTCCGTACCACGTCGATCTACCAAAAGCAGATCTAAGTCTAGGTGAAATCTGCGCTACGTACTTGAACTTTACTGTCTTCAACACCACAATTACCAAGATGAGCCAACACACAACGTTGCAGCCACGAGACATAACCTCCCACGTTCTTGAGAGGGCTCTACCACAGGCGACGGTCAGAAAATTGCGACGAAACTCTTAAAAGGCAAGAGAGGACGGGACTTCAACTTAGCAGCTCGTCTCAAGGAGATGACAGCCGACCGACGAAGGCAAAAGGATTGTGCATTCTTGCCTTATGTAAAGGAGTTTTGGCTGTTCCACACTGGAAAGCTCAAAAAAAAAAACCCTGTCACGTACAAAATGTGGCTCAGTCTAGTATCGAACAATCTCAACATTGTCCAGCTTCCTTGGTGACCCGAGCCTGGTATTCACTAGGAGCAGGATTCTCGCAATGGACATTAAAAAATCGCCACGAAGCTCTCCTCTGTGAAATAGTCTCGAACAAAGCGACGTCATCCGCGAGCCTAACAGCTACAACGCAGATGCCCCTGCACCCAAAGGGCAAAATTTCACAAAATGAAGACCTGGGTCGAGACCTCGTGCACCTACTGCCTAGGTTATTTGGCCATGAAACCTCGTTTCCCCCTTTCGGTTGAGAATGGTTTCGATATGAATCTTCGATTACCCGGATGGGAATACGCTTCTGACGAGAGCCATTCATCAAGAGCGGGCACAAATTGTGAAGTTATTATTGGGACGGAAAGACCTTGACGTCAACAAGACCGGGCCGACACACCTAGTATTATGTCAAGCCGTAGTCACTGGTGACAAGGAAATAGTGGAATTATTGCTTACTCGGAAAGATTTGGACATCAACACGAAAGATGATGATGGCCGCTCAGCTCTTCTATATGCGATGTTATATGACCACGAGGCGATAGTCAAGCTCTTACTCGCATCAGACGATCTCGACGTGAACGTAGGAGACGAGTACGAATGCACGGCGTTACACTGGATAACGCGACATTCGATCCGGAAACACATGGAGACGACATCGACGTCACGGCAAGAAACGAGGACGGCAAGACACCCCTGATGCACGCGATTGATTATGAAGACGAAGAGATGGTGAAGATGTTACTTGCTCGAGACGATCTCGACGTAAACGTAAGGGACAGGCACGGGCGCACTGCGTTACATCGTGCTATTATGTATGGAGTGGTCTCGATTTTGGTGGAACTATTGCTTGGACGGAATGATATTAACACGGAGATCAGAGAAGGGGGTGGTCGGACGCCGATGGATCAGGCCATTGAGGACAACAATCAGTCGGCTATTGAGGTATTGAAGGATCGGCGCGGTAACCATAATCTTGAGCAGTAGATGGAATCCGAGACAAACCTCCTTTCGCCTCACATTAACAGCAGATATTCTGAGTTGCTCCCTCTTTGGAGCTCTTGTCCGTCCGGAGAGCAGTTTTTCCAGTCGGACTGGGTCGTTCGTTTCACGAAGTGACCAACACGCGAGCTCGCGACCTGTGGAGGCTCTTCGCGAGCGAGGCGTCCTCTACATCCTCAAGTTCAATAACTGGAAGCGGCTTTGTGAGGTCAGGAGAGTATGATGTCGGCCGGAAATGCTTGATCGGCTTGACCAGCTGCTTGTCCGGGCAGCTGGTGGACTTTGTGGTCGTCCGTCTTGCCGCCACAATATCTTCCCACATCTCCTGAATGAAGTTGAAGTTTATCGACAAGGGGTCGAAGAACTCGGCCAACAGCTGCCAGACGGTGTCGAGGTGCTGGATGTCCGGGTAGAGCCAGACGATTTGCTGTACAAACCACCGTCTTTCAGGCTGATTTCGAGACGCCATCGTGCCCGCCAATAAGACGTTGAAGAGCGTGGTGTGGCAGGTCGAACTCATGGTAGGGAGATCCATGTTCGAAAGCCGGTACTGGAGTTCGAGCAGGTTCGAGCGCACGATGAGTGCCGAGGTGTTGAAGCTGATGCAGTTCAGATACATCCAGAAGAACAGCGCAATCTGATAGCACCGCTGCATTTCGACATGCTCTGGCTCTCCCAGAAACCTGCAGCTTTCTGGGTCCATCCGCGAAATGGCCGTCGCACTCTCCGGCATTAAACTCGAGCTTGGACTCTCCGGGCGCCAGGCTAGCATGCGCCCGGCGAGATGCGCTCGGTGGGAATACCATTCGCGGTCAGACCTCCAGAATTTCCTGTCGATCTCGACCACTTCTTTTCGGCGCCCTTGAGCTTTGCTGTGGGCCTTGCGAAGTAGCACGACCGAGCGACTATGGAGGAATGCGCCGATGATGTTGACTTTGGATCTGGGAAGCACAATCAGCCCGAGTGCCATATTGAGAGACGGCACAAAATGGTACTCACACAGCCAGTTCTGTTTCGAGCAAAGTTTCATCCGTGTCGAGAAGTAGCGACATCCGTTTGAGCGCTTGGAGGTGCATTCGGCCGCTCTCGCCGTCTGCCAGGAGCACCTAGAACAGATCAGATTTCTTCGAGTGCACCAAAGCCTTAGTCCGCTCCATCTTTCTGACTTACCGAAAGCCGGTACAGGAACAGGATGGCTTGATAGCATGATTCATCAACGACTTGGTGTGGATCACTCAAAACGGCATTCAGCTCGGCCAGGCATCTTGTATGGAGGCGTAACCACGACGGGATCTGCCACGGAGACTTCTGGCCCTTTTCGGTGGGCGGCGGCAGCACCACACCCGGGCCCCTGAGCAGACAACCATGAACGTTAGTCGTTGGAATCGGACACAGGCGTGGGAACCATGCGTATCTCGTGCAGGATGTGCAGGATTTGCAGGATGCATATGTTTTGGCTAAGGAATTAGAACACTGGCAAGGACCGGCTCACCCTCTGAGCATTCCGGAGAGAAATACCGAAGCATATGTTGCAACGGCATAAGTCAGACAGGGCGATGCCTGAATCTGGGACAGGTTGTCCAACCACTTCCACGATTGCAGCAAATGGGTCGCAAACGGTCTGATGGTCCAGAAATAGAAGTAGAGATTTGCCTTGATTTCGACGTCGTACCTCATGGCCGCGGAGGGGGTGAAGATGTCGAAGAATTGACATCCCAGCATGGTCAAGGGAGAGGCTGCCCATGCTTCGTATTCCCTTAGGTCGCGCTCCCAGAGCTTGATGGCCACGCGTGGTTTCTGCGATGTTGGCGGGCAGTCCTGGCCCTTGCGTATGAGGGCGCCACTTTCTCCATCGGGGCGTTCATCCGTGTGAATCCGGTGATGCTGGTGATGCTGGTGATGCTGGTGATGCTGGTGATGCTGGTGATGCTGGTGATGCTGGTGATGCTGGTGATGCTGGTGATGCTGGTGAT